AAAGCAGGCAGAAGGCAGGAAGGGTGAGAGGCGTGGAGGAGCGAATGGGCTGCGGGCTGCGGCTTGTTGGGGCAGGGCCCAGGAACTCTGCTCCAGAATGAAGACGCTGATCAGGGGTGGCTCCCAGGCTCCTCCCCGCTGTCCCCAGGCACTCAGACACCTTGACCACATTCCCTGGCAGCCACGCCCTGCAGAGAAGACTGGGCAGGCGCAGGGCTCTGTGATAGGCTCCGAGCCCAGTCCCCATGAATAAGCAGCCTGAGAACCAGGGCAGCCCTTTGCCTGCCTGGGAGTGGACAGACGTCAAGCAAGCAGGGACCTCCAAGTCTTGGCCAAAGGACACCAGGAGCACGATGTGTCCTTCCCTTCCAGCTCTCCTGGAACACAGTCCTGTCACCACGTGCACCTGCCAAGCACGTGCACCTGGTGTTCTTCAAGCCGCCGGTTCTGGACTCAAACCATGGAGTCAGCTATGTGGGATCCAGCCCCTTAACTACCATCCCACTTGCTGGCCCCCGGTTTTGGGTTCTTGACAATTACTCTTACAGACAGTAGCAATAAAATATTTGTGCTTTTCTTTGCTCATTTCTATAAGTATTTCCATAGGCCAAGTCTCTAGACTGAGACTGCCGGGCTTGTACACTTTGACCCTGACTGACCCCACTGGGTCACCTCTGAACAGTAGGACCAATCTATGCCTCTCTTTCCTGCCCAACACACATTCCCTGCTGCACACGAGTGCCTGTTTCCGAACTGTGTGTCCAACTGGATGACTCCCCAGGGATTGTATTAAAAGCTCTGGGACAATTTCTGAAGGCATCTAAACTCTACAGGGTTTCTTTTAACAGAACAATAATGTTTTGATTTTTGAGTCTTTAAGGCATTGATCTGGGCATTAGGTTTGACTCCCCAGGCCAAGTAAGCCCACAGGAACCCACACGAGCAGGTCTGAACTGCGTTAGGGTGTCACAATGCAGAGAGGACGACGTGGAGGTGACAGAATGCACTCAGAGGTCTGTACCCTCATCACTGGCTGGGAAACCAGCTGCCCCCTCAGCTGAGTGTGAGCTTCTTTTCATGCCATTCCCTAAAATAAAAATCACACTGACCTGGGAAGAACCTTTCATCAAGCAGCGCAGAGGACAGGGTAGAGAAGACTAGAAGAGTTGGTGAGATTACCCCTCCTTATCATTTACGAGATGAGGATGTTGAGGCCCAGTGATACTGAGTGACTAGTTCAAGGTCACAAGAAACAGAACAGCAGGAAAACCGGCAGCAGAATTCAGCTCACAGCCAGGCAATCCGGCTTCTAGCTGGGTGCTCTCTGGGTGCTCACTACAGTCCAGCAGGACACTTGCAATCTTCCCTGACAGCCCCTTGAGTCTGTCCTCCTTCAATCTCAGCTGCTTTTGAAAATGACAGGAAGGTTAGAGTTCTTGCAAAGGAGCATCGGAATAAAAATCATGGCAACAAATCCATGTGGCTTTGCATGAGCTGGTCCCACTAGCTTGGATCCCTCCTCTGCCTAACAGCTCGAACTCTTCTTCATCTTTTAAAACCTAAAAGAATTGTTCCTTCTGTGAAAATGTTCCCTGACTCTCCAGGGCAGCCAGTAGCTCCCATGCCCTGACCTTGCCCCAATACTCAGACCACATTAGTGGTTCTGCTTCTTCCTCACAAGGGTAAAAATTCCTCAAATGCAGGGATATTAAATTCACCTTTGCAAACCCAGCACCCAGATTAAGGAATGAACTTTGGACCACAAAGGGAGGAGTTTTATCCTTCTACCCCAGCTCCTCTCTCAAGTATGAACTCAAGAGGAACATGTTGCTGCTGCAGGAATAAGAATGAGTAGGTTTTGTGGCGCGAGGAGATTCTAATCCTGGAGCCACAGCTTTCAACAGACTCTACCTAGAGGTGCCAAGCAGGTCAGGCTGACAGGTGAGTGGGCCAAAGGCACAAGGTGCTTTCAGGTGTGCATGGGCCTCTGGCTACAAAGCACTTGCCAAGAATGACCTCATCCGAGTGAACTTGGACCTGCTCAGGGTGCCTGCCACGCAGCCGGCCTCTCCTCCTTTGCCAGGCTCCAAGTCTGGCTGATCTGGACTCGGGACTATGAGACAGGAGGGTGTGTAGTGGTTAAAGCACGCTGCTCCGGCCCGTTGCTGGCATGGTGGCTGAGATAGCTGGATCCCACTCTGGGACTGGGACCCCAAGTCACAGGTCTTGAGAAACAAGTGTGTGTACACGCATGTCCTAAATCCCAGAAGGAGGAAACAGAAAAGGGGTTGTGGCGTGATCATTCCTCATGGAGGTGCTTTCTTACTTTCCCTCTCTCCAGCGAGTGCACACACCTTCTGGCATAAAATAAAACCAAAAACATAAGCAACGCACAACGCTCAGCTAGGCCTGCCTCTGTGGGCAGGTCCCAGGTTCACGGCGAGTGACCTCCGAGTGCACCAGGCACATGCTGGGCAAGCATGTGGCCATGATCCAGGGCTGGCAAGGCGGGGGTGGACCGTGGCATCAAGATCGCATAGGTGGAGGGGGCTATCTCTCTGATGCTTGCAAGAAAAGAAAGAAACTTACAGAAAAAAAAAAAAAAGATATGACCGAACATATTACTTACTTTTCAGGACTTGAGGGGGAAGGAAGAGTAACGAGAGCCGTCAAGAGAACAACTCAAGAAAGATGAGCTATTTCCGCACAGCGGCCTGAGGGTCACCGGGCTCTGGGCCTCCCTGGGACATCAGAAAAGAACACACACGAGAGAGACGCTGGAAGCGGGGGTCGCCATCTCCAGTTTACTTTAATTTGCTTGTTTACACACACACTCTGTGTACATGACAGCGGCAGGAGACAGTCTCCAAATACAATCTGCTACCCAGACTATGACAGATGCACGTGGAACATGAGGCGTCGGCGAGGGAAGCTCAACACGGAGAGGCAAAGCAAGCGTGGCATGTTGGGTGATCACAGATGCCCCAAAGCCTCTTGCTCAGCACCTGGGGACACCTTCATGACAAGACCCAGACTCCAACTAGTACTCGGAAGATGTTGGTTTCTCTTCCTTTTCTAGAGGAGCCAGAAAGTTCTAAAGCCTGAGTCGAGAAAAAAGGAGATGAGGAGTTGACTACCCCTCAGTATATATGCTGGGCACTCTCCCCTCTCCATTTCCCTTAATTCTAACAGTATCACCTCCACTTTACAGATGAGGACGACACGGCTTCCCCACGGCTGGAGAGCGATCAGGAGTGGTGCCAAGATTCGAACCCGCCTAAGGCCAAACTCTTTCGCTGCTGCTATGCTGTCTCACACAAGGAGAGACAGCATGCTCTCAAGGAGAAGGACAGACAGCAGCGAGGAGGCCTAAGGAACAGAGTGAGCTCCATAACTCCCCTTTCCACATCGAGATAACTTACTGCTGGACCTGAATCAGACCCCCATGAAACTCAAGGGTGACAAATGAACTTCTGGAGTCGCAGTGCTTCTGTTCCCTTTAGGTGCTGAGCATGAAACTTAGATCTCCGTTACTTCAACAAGCTCCTGCCAGCTGCCCGCCTCTCCCCTGGTTAACGCTGTAAACCCCAGAGAGCAGACAGTCCTTCCCTGGAATCCACCTCATCTTGCCAATGCTCTGAAACACTGCAGAGATGCCTCTGACAGCTCACTGTCTGTGTCTCTGCCCCTTTTGGGGACAGCATTTCATGTCTCACACATGAACCTGCAACTGGACGGGACACAACATATTTATTTCAAACATATCTTTATATAAAAATATTTGCCCTGAAGATGCACCTCAAGCTTCTAACAGCCCAAGGTTGAGATAAGCCAGTCGGGTGTAGTGTTTATCAGTTAATGCTATTATCAGACTTGATTGAGGGGAAGGGTATCAAAATAGCTTTCAGGATGATCACCCAGAAGGCCAAGGGCTCGGTTTGAAAGGCTTGGAGTAACAATAAATGTAGGCGAGGAGAGGGGCTACTTTACAGACATGGAGCTGTGTCTCCGGGGACAGAGGTGCCATGGCTTCCAACCTCTTTCCACGTGCTCACAGCCAAGGCCAGAGAATGACAAGGCTGGAACTGAGAAGTGCGGCAAAGGGAAGAGAAAAGGTCAGTGGATCCCAAGGCCAGTTGAACAAGCCCAGTTTGGTTGGTGGTGCAAGTAACAGGTGGGAGGTGCCAAAGTTATGCCACCATTTAATAAGGGCTTGTTATTGTTTTTGGCAAACAGGCTGGCTTTTTGCCACCAGAGGGAGACATTTCACTTCACTCCTGAATGATCATAATCTTGTCCTAAAGGTAAAAATGCCTTGGGACACAGCACAGTGGTCAATACACTTATCACATGACCCAGAAGCGCTGCTTCAGCTACAGCACTGGCAGGTGGTCAGGGAAGGGGCAGTGCAAATGTGTTTTGTAAAACTGCTCTGACTTGGCTTAAAATTCATCAAGCTATTAACACCTGCTTTCCAGTTTTGCTGTTAACAGAGAAAACAGCACTGTGAGATGGAATTTAATACTATAAGCCAGTGGTTTATAAAAAGTAAATAAGGGGGCCAGCAGGTGGAGTGATGGGAAAGGCTCTGGATTACCAAACGGCTGACTGTGGTTAGAGTCCTGGACCTGGCAGCTTGAAAATCACACCGGGTACGTGTGTGTGTGTGTGTGTGTGTGTGTGTGTTCCCAAAATCCTGAGAGAAGAATAGAGGAGAAGGGACTGCAGCATAGCCATCCCAAGGGGTGATTTCTTACTTTCTCTTTCTCTGTCTCTTGCTGGTGAGCACACAGGCCCTATGACAATAGTCTAAAAAAAAAAAAAAAGGTAAATTAGTGTTCTTAAAAAAAGACCCTTGACATCATCCATACATGCCAAAGTGTAGCAGTGAGTTGTACATTATTTTTAGGAGTTTTGCTGACCAAGAGCAAATACTATAGTTGTTATCAGAAACTGTAAAGCACTCACTCTGCAGAGAACAAAGAAGGTAACCTTATTGCTCTAAACATCTAACATATAATAATACACAACACAGACAAAAAAAAAAAGATCATTGTTCATTGTGTAAAAATGATCCAATACTCAGTTGCAGAGGCACTGCAGCTTAACAGGCCCGTTTTGGAAACTGATCACAAGCCAGTTGCAATATTTAACATTCTCTTGATGTAACAAATACTGCACCCAGAGAGTGCCTTCTAGGCACTGGGGTGTTTTATAAAGAACCCTGCCAGAAATAAATGCTTGTGCAAAAATGACCAGAGGGACACCCTGTTACATAGCAGCATGAACCACCACTAAAATCGGACGACTCGGCTCAGGGAGATGGCAGCAGGAGCCCAGAGGTGCTGGCTCCCCACAGCCACACGACAAAGGCTTTCCTGATTCTGCCCTGCTGAGCCTTGGCTCTCCCCTCTGGCGACAAAAGGGGGTGTTCCAGATGGAGGTCAAGTCTTGCCAGGGATAAAAGTGCCTGACTGGGATCGGAGGAGTTTGTGACACAGCTGACATCGCCAAGAATAGTCTGAAGATCAAACTTGTTCCCCAGACTCCACCGCTGCCCACCCGGACTGCCTGGCAGACTTCCCCTCTGAGGCCAGATGGATAATTTAGCCAAATAACAAAGTGAAACAAATGAAAAATATATTAGCCATTGTCCCACTGTCCTCCCTGTGTTGCTGCTCACTTATTTCTTGTAACTGTCTTGCTTTAGACTCCAACTAGAGCTCTGGGGAGGAAGTCCTGGGGAAAACGATTTCAGGTACCAACACCCATATGTCCCGTACCAGCCCAGCAAACCGAAGAAGGTGCCAAAGACTTTCTGGTACAAGTCGTGGAAGTAGACAGCAGTGCACAGAAACATCCACACCCAGATGAGGGTCAGGAAGCCCAGGGCGACGGCCAGGCTGGTGATGGTGGTGTGGAGGCAGTGGCTTCGATCCGTCTTCACCTCCTGCAGCACGGCCATCTCCTCCACGATCATGAGGGCACAGAAGGTCCGCAGGAAGGCGC